TCATTTCTTCGTCTTCAATCCATGTCTCCTCCATCAGTTTTGCAACGAGATGGTACTTTTGGCCCTCTTCACGTAGTAGTTCCCATACAGGAACATTAATAGCCGTGTCACCACGATCTAATATGGCCCATGTGGCATTGTTGGTGGAAAGAGCCTTCTTAAAAGATGCAGGATTGTCTGCGTGTGGACCAATGGATTTCACACTGAATGCATAATGGACGCTCTCGTTTTCAATTTGTGATCCTTCGCTGGAAGCCTTCGAGGAGCTGTACTCGTGCATATCACTTCCTCCAACTCCCCACGCACCACCAAAGAAACCAGCAGACACCTGCGTAGTCAACTTTGTAGCGTTAAGATGCATTAGTTTAGTAGTATCAACTTCTTTTTCAGACGTCGCTGTACTCATTGTAAAGAATAACCCTCCAAGCTGGTGAACGCCGTAAGGTACATGGCTGCCGTAAATTTTGAAAAATCTTCTGATCTCTTCTTTCATTATCTTCTTGTCGTCTGCTCTTTCTGTGATACTCAAAGCCATATTACATGCTTGCTCAGTGGGGTGAAGACAACTTCTTGGGACAGCGAAACTTTTCATCGCAGAGCGGCAAAAGTTCGTTGCTGAGACACTTGTAGTGGTGGTCTTGACTGACATCTCACTTTCGTCTGATGTTTGGGTTCCATAAGTACCGCTCGCTGCTGCTGCGAATGTAAGACAAAATCCACAAACAACGTCTGCATGGGTAAAGCCAGAACTTTCGACTTCTTTGGAAAACATTTCTGCAGAATGTCCTTCTGAAAATTGGCGAAAGCCCGTCTCGTAAGGTGACTGTGTGTTCCAACTTTCTACCTTTTGTGGTGGCTTCAAGATTGGGACATTTGAAGTTTGGGGCTTTTCCCATTTGGAAAAGTAGATTCCTTTCAGTGCAAGCCCTCCACTAGCATTAGCAACGATTTCTTCTACACTGTCATAGCTGGGGATAGATTCTTTAAACTCATCTAGTTCTTGAATTTTGGTCTTAAGCTTCTCGAGCATTTGTTCGGGCAAATCTTTGTCTATGCTATTCCATTCTGATGGAAGCTCAACCAGTTTCTTGATCTCTTTGATCTTCTCATCCAGCTCTTTTCGATTTTTTTCAAGATTTTCCGATGCAAGTTTTTTGGCTTGATTCATCAGCTCCTTCGCTTTTTCAAGTTTTTCTTTTCTTTCCTCTTTTTTCCTTTTGGAAGCAGGGTTTCCACCATCGACCGAGCTGTCCGCTTTTGCAAGATTGTGTATCTCCTTTCGCTCTTCAACGTCAAACTTCAATTCGCGTAGTTTCTTAGTGCTTTTTACAACTTTTCCAAGCTCGTGGAGGGAGGGAGCGAGTTCAACAAGCTTCTGGACACGCACGTCTGATTGGTCGTACCCTCTGTTTGCCAACTCACCAAGAACTTCGAGCTTTGGCCCAAGTTTTCTTTTGATCATCTTCATGGCCTCTGGTACTTTGTCATCGGTAGTGTTGACCAAAAACCTTGCCAAGTCTAGTTTAGTGGTCAGATATTCTCGAACCAACGTTAGACCTTCAAGTGCTAGACCATTGGAGCTCATGACTTTTTGAAGGTCTTTACTTAACCCAAGTAGAGCCGCTTTCTTTAGACTAGAACAAAAAGTGCAATACAATTGTATTTTGTTTGTTTTTAATGTAATCGATCGAAGTTTTCTACAGGGGTGGGTCCAGGATTTTTCTCAGGGAGAGGTTAGGGGTTCTCAGGAGGGTTTGCACCTCGCAAAAATCATAACCATGAAGATACAAAATAACGATAGTATTGAATCATGATACAGATCTCAGAAGGGGGAGCGCACCCCCTGCATCCAACAGCTGGACCCGCCTTTGTTCTATGGTACTAAATATTATACGTTCTACATGTTCCTACTGAGGAATAATGTATTAAAAATAAAAATTTCCAGTACCGCGTACCCAGAAGACCTCTCGGACAGGCCTATTTGCCTTTTACGCATTGAAACGTACTTGACATGAGAGGATATTATTGCAATCGAGCAGCATTTCATTTCCCAAGCATTGCCTGGCGGCTGCTCTAAATAAAAGCATGGCTTTCCCTACGTCGAGTCAGTGCTAGAAATGTACGTGTTTCGGTATATATGATTCAATTTTTTGAGAGTCCCAAAATGTTCTTGGGTTTTAGCGTCGATGATATAACTTTTCTTTGAACTGTATCTAGACTTTCAACTTCCAACTATAATATAGACTATAAACTATAATATTTATACTATGATTTAAGCACGATTTTTTACCTGTATTCGAGCTTTTTCTTCTCCTTTGTGTCTTCAGGTAGACTCTTGATCATCTCATCAACTTCGCGTATTATTCCCTCTGCTTCGCTGGGGTCTTTTGGTAGTTGGTCTATTTCTGTCTTAATTAACTCGGGCTCCGTTAAATCGACTTCTTCACCCTTTGAGTTTGGGGTTGCTTTTTGCTTGGACATTTTGTTGAATTAATTATCACGGAGATTTTGTGCTAGAACTTCAATATCTACAAGAAAGACGAGCTAGTTTCACTTCAGTAATATAAGGGTGTGATGGGGGAAAATGTTTTCGGGGAATGCCGCGCCGGAAGTGTTACTGCCATAGATTCTATTATAGACTTTGGTGATTAATACCATTGTAAGATTAAACAAAAAAAACAAAAAACAAAAACAAACAAAACAAAAAACAGAAATCATCAAGAAATAAAAAATAGTATGAATTTGTTGAGTAGCTTATAAACAATATTACTGTATACGTAAATTCAATCCAATTTTGGATAAAATGTATTGATTAATCACGCCATTATATGATTAGTGCGTACAAACGTGCAATATTTATTTCACGGCTTTTCGGAATTCATTCCTGAAAGGAATTATTATCTATCTTCTACAGCTTATATTTGTCTTTTTTTATGTATGAATTCAAGCAATGGTATAATCATTCTTTTGTCTATTTATAGTACTTGAGTCAGGCTCGTGATAACTTTCGTGACCTTCCGACTTTTACATGAAAATCTTTTCGGGGAATTCCTAACTAATATTCTCAAAATGAAGTCCATATTTTCTGTTTTCAATAGTTGTCACTTATAGCTAATATTCATACTTGTTAATTTATCCATTTAAATCCAATGGTGTGATAATGCATTATATTGGTCAGTCAAATCATATTTGTGATGTGTTGGGTCACTTGTCTGAGTCTGGATCGTGACAATTTTCCGTGACATCGCGGTTTTCCGTAAATAATCTATTCGGGGAGTTCCCGTGTCAATTAAGAGCTACGAGGGATTTTAAAACTTGCTTAGATCAAATAATTACTAATATTGGTAAAAAGTCCTCGCCATGATATCATTTAAAAAAATCAAAGTTTAATTAATGTTCACAAAAGACGAATAAACTGGCATTTGGACTCAGTCATGGCTAAGATTGACTTTCGTAATATACAATGAACCATGCAGAAAGATTTGTGGAGACAGGTCACCATTTCACATGATCAGTGCGACGAGATTGGATTTTTTCCGATGCTGTTATATGAATATACATGTACTATATATTTTGGACCATATAAAATAGGAAGACGAAAAAGACGGTCTTACCTGGAAGAGGTGATCTTCGTAATGCTGACGGATACAACTTTGGTTCCGAGAATTTAGGAAACAGGAAGTGAATTTTTGTGCCCAGGACTCTTTGCCGTTTAATTGTAAAAATATGACATGAAATTGAAAGGTCATTTTATAGGGCGATTTTTCTGTTTTTTAATGATAATACTGAATATTTCCATGGGAAAGAAAGAGAATGTTTCGGACATTATGAATGCTCTCTAATGATTATTATGATTAACAAAACTAAATATCATGAATAATGACAATCGCCAGTAGGAGCTCATAGTTGCAATAATAAATAACTTTACCAACAGTTGGCAGATATTGGTAGAGTGAATTAATAAATCCAATGATTTAATGATTGCAAGTAGAAAATAGATTATAAAATAAGGTATGTTCAATTAACATTTTAATATATTGGTACTATATTCATTGGAGCACAAACACAAAAAGTATGCAAGTAAGAGTTACATACCGAGAACGGAGGCAAACAGCCTAATACATCCCGAGGACCGTAGGCCCGAGGGATGTATAGGCTGATTGCCGACGTTCGAGGTATGTAACTRRCKTATTTYATAYTKRAAGAAGTTTTCCAAGCACTGCATTAATATTTTCATTTTTAAATAGGCAAAGAAGCCGTTTTCATATGAATTAAAAACCAAACCCTCGATTAGAAAGATTACGAAATTTACAGTATTGAAAATTCCCAACGGGAATAATTTGCATAACCAATTTTCTCGTTAGTCCCATGAGACCAATGCTAACAATACAACTTTTGTAACAAGTAACTGGACAATGTTAAATAACTGTTTTATTCCACAACTGACATCGATTAGTCAGTTAGCATAACGTGTTAAGTATAGGATTTTCAAAGCTAAGGTTGTGGGTTCGAATCTACTTGGTGTCATTTGAATTTTTCTTTCCTTCTTTCAAGTTTAAAGTTTCAGACGGAAAATTTCTAAGTTGAACGTAGTAGTTAATTAGGTATTCAAGGGCAATATACATTAGTATTCAAGGGCAATATATAGATATTGCCCTCAAATGGGGGCAATATCTAGATATATCCCCGAAACTTCGATATAAAGCACTTGAATACACAACGAGCTGGGGAATAAGCGAGATACAACACTATGAATAACAAAGAAAACTGAATCAAGTATGAAATAATACTAATTTGAACGTTATGTGAATTCGTTACGTATAACATAAAGCTTAGCTTTTCCATTATTGGATTCAGTGTCTATATATTTGACAATTGCACCTTACAGAATTAAGTGGCTCTACGTATTTGTGCCGGTGTGCTCATCCATCTGAGACATCAACAGGAAATTCAGCCCCATCAAACAAAACCTACAAAATATACGAAAAATGGGTTTTTACTTTTCAAATAAACTGTCTTTTTAAATGGTTTCCTTTCGTGCCTACATATTTCGCTTCTACACCTTTCAGAGCTAGCGTGTCATACATATATCTTGTCTGTCTGTACATCCATCTTAAGCGTCAACAGGAACTGATTCGAATACTTTAGAAGTCATTGAACAATAGATTTATGGAACTGTGGCGAAAATAAGCTATTAATACTGATACATGTAGCCACTTGTATAAAGAGTCAATGTTTGATTAGTATCGTTGATTGGGAAACAGCACAAAACAAGGTAAGATCCGTTGTTTTATTCTAGTGCTTACCGTTATGAGAATTAAAGCAAGATATTCAGCTTTGTTGGTTAGGGGGAGGCTGAATTTTGTACATATAATAAAACAACATTAAAGATTTAGATCAAGTCAATAAAAAAATGATTTAACTGCATATTAAGATGTCAAAAACATCACATGTTAAACTTACCTTGGCTTCTTTTTAATAGCTGAGATATTTTACGATTGAGTTCCGGCACGCATATCTAGTTTATTCTATTCTAGTTTATACCAAGGATTCAGTTATATTTACATATAGTTTATAGTTAGAAATTCTTTTGTTTCTTGATCGTGCTAATGAATAATGAAGTGAAGGTAGAGATTTATCAGTATTAAGAATACAAAATAATATACTCAATAAGAAAAAAATTGAAGACTGAATGGAATGACATGTAAGGAAAAGAGTCCACGCATGACCACAAATCAGATTGGACCGCAATTGCGGCACGAACAAGACATTTGCAGTAGTATGTATAGCCACATTCATGTTATCAACAGTTTAACGTGTGAATGAAGCTAAGCATTGAAAACGATAGTGGCTCAACCTCAAAGTAGCTTAAAGTGTTCATTATCTCTATCAGTGCCTAATTCACATGTGTTTATATGTATTTATATATTTGCGTGATTGTGTTTAGTGGACCTTTCTGGTTGAGTTGATTGATGTGTTAATGCAAATTGAACAACGACCTTAAAATTATTGAAATACTTAATCGCTCTTTTTAGTACATTTTCAAGCAAAAAGAGACACTTAGATGCTCAGCTTTGGCATCTTTTCATATAATACAACTTCATAGAATTAAAAAGACTACACCCCAGTAAAGAACCCTTTGAATTAACCATGAGTAAGAACGATTTTGGATCAATCCAAGGACAGATAAATGCAATTCCATCAGAAGACCCACCTTGCGCCGAAGGACTCATACGATCCATAGACAAAATGGTAAATAGCCACAGAGATAAAGAAGAGAGGAAAATCCTTGAAAAAAAATTAAAGAAAGCAGCCATTCGTGGATTAGGCAAAGAGTTGCAAACAGCTATGAATTCAAACGGTTTGGCTCTTGAGGCTCTGCCGCTGGTCCGTGAACATCTAACCACAAAGACAGCCTTAGCCTCCTTTTTTGCTGATACTCCCGATGAAAATCTGACCAAAGACGTGAAAATGATCAGACGGAAACTTGGTGAAACACTCGAGATACAGTTTGAATCTTCGCAATTCAAGTCTATAAAAGAAAAAATCGAAAACCTCCCCAAAAACGATCCTACAAATGCCGAAGAGCTTATTCGAGAAATCGAAGTAATGATCAGCAATGTACACAAAGAAAAGGAAAGAAAAAGCCTAGAATCTAATTTAAAGAAGGCAGCTTTACTTGGATTAAGTGTTGAACTCCAAGATATTATGAAATCTAATGGTTTAGCCCTCAATGGACTTCCGTTGATCCGTGAACATCTGACCACAAAAGCAGACCTAGCGGCCTTCATTGTTGAAAATTGTGATGAGAATCTGCCAGCAGATATGAAAATGATCAAACGAAGACTTGGCAAAACACTGAAAGAAGGTTATCAATCTTCAGATTACAAATCTGTCAAAAAGCGAATAGATGAACTGCCCAAAAGTGACCCTACAAGTGCCGAAGAGCTCATTCGAGAAATTGAAGAAATGATCAACGCTTTACCCAAGGCAGATGACAAGAAAAGTCTCGAATCTGATTTAAAGAGGGAAGCTATACTTGGATTAAGTGAAGAGCTCCAAGGTCTCCTGAAATCCAATGGTTTGGCCCTCAGTGGGCTTCCATTGGTCCGAGAGCATCTCACAACTAAACCTAAGCTTGCAAAGTTCCTTTTTGAAAAGAATGAAAATGATCTTGAGGAAGATTTTAAAAATATTCACAGATTACTGCAACCAGAGCTAGAGGTTCTTGGTGAGCTGATAAGTCGCGGATTTGATCCATCAGACGAAAACGTCAAAAAACTCGTGGACATTGCCCCTTCTCGGGGTAAGCTTAAGAGACTGAGTACGGATAAACTACGAGATTTAAATTTTGAAGATGAAGATCTGGAAGCTATCAATGATGCTAAAGATACTTCAGACGTGTCAGATAAGAAAAAAGAGGAACGCGAAAAACAAGTAACTCAGGCAAAAGAGTTACTAAATGATGTAAAAAATGATGTGAATAAAAACTTTGAAAAGACTAAAAGTGAAGTTAAAGACAACATGGAAGAGTTGCGCAGTCGAATGGAGCTTCCAGACGATTGGAAACAACAACAAAGAAAATGTCCTGAAAGTATGCTAGATACTCTCAAAAGCAAGACTCAAGAGCAAGGAGAGTTCGTAGAATCTAGCAAATCATTTGAAAGAGACGAGGAAATTGTTGAAAAAGCCAGTGGTGGACTCGCATTGAAAGGCATCAACTACTTGCATTGGGATTATCCGAAAACTGCTATGTTGCCAATCTTGGAAAGACCACGTAAAGTAGATATTTGGAATGCGCAATCCCCCTATGAGACAGGTTTCCGCCAATTCTCAGAGGGCAACGCAGCAGCAAGATTTACAAAAGAAGTGGAAAGTTCGGGTTTTACCCATGCTGACAGCGTTTCTTTTTCCTTCGGTGGCTTTTCTGCTGGTGCAAGTGTTTCCTATGGCTCTCAAAATAGTGATGAAGCAGAAAATTCTATGAAATCAAATAGCACCAGCGTTTCCGCAACAAATTTCTGCCAATCTGTGATGAAATGTTTTGCAATTCCAAGAGATTGCATGAAAGTTAAAGACCAAGCTGCTAAAATGGCTGAGCACATCACTGAGGTGTTAAAAGAAAAGGAAAAGCAAAAAGAAGAGATTCGGCGTTTCTTTAAGATCTACGGCAGTCATGTGCCATTCAGCGTTCACCGGCTTGGGGGGATATTTTTCACAATGAGCACGGCGACCTCAATGAAAGAAATGGAGACCTCCAAGCTGATGCATCTAAATTCCAACAAACTAACAACGGAAGTTTCTGTGGGCTATTGGGGTGCTGCAGCGAGTGACAAGCACGAAGAAGAATCTTCGAAGGGGTCAACCACAGCAAATCAAGATGAACAAGAAAATGTCAGCTATACATTCAGTTTGAAATCTATCGGACCCCACGCAGACACCCCAGCGTCTTTCAAAAAGGCTCTCTCAGAAAATAACTCAACATGGGCCATTCTAGATCGTGGCGATACATCACTAGATGTCCCTGTTTGGGAACTGCTTCGGGAACGCGATAAGAAGTTCGAAGGCGTCGCCGATCTAATGAGAGAAACCTTCACAAAAGACAAGGACAAGATGGAAAAGGAAAAAGAAAAGATAAAGGAATCGAAAGAATATCAGAAACGTTTTGGGGAAATGCACAAAGATCAATTAGAGACATTTAAGAGGAAAATACTCAAAGAAGAAGTAAACCAACAGATGGGAAGGTACAAAGAAATGGTAAGTATATTCAAATTTTACTAGTTTGACAGTGTGCAATGGATATTTTTTTTCTAATGTTTTCCCACTTTAGTCAACAGCTGAATCAGAAAAGCATTTCAAGGGACAACTTCCATTGAAAGGCATTCCAAACAAGGATGAATTTAAAAATGGAGAACCTGTGTGCGTCATCTATATTGAGAACAAGGAAATCTTGGAATCAAAAATCTATGATTTTTTAATCATAGACCCCTCATCAAATTTTTGTCAGCTGATCGAGGAACCTTCATATTCGGAACATGTTGCTGTTTTGAAGTGTTTTAAGGCAAATAAAACCATTGTTGGCTTTGAAGAAAGTTCGAAAAAAAAAGATGAAAGGCATTACATATTTTTCAGTGGTAATTACTTTTCTTACCAGTGCACATTTCCTTTGTATCTGAAACATGCACCGATGGAGGCGCTAATATGGCAAGCATTCCTGAAATCGATGCTTAAATATACAAAATAGTCTTGAACACTGAGCATAATAAAGGCAGCTCTACCCGAATTAAGTGGACACCTCCAGGTCCTTTGATTTTCAAGTCAACGCAGTTTTGCGTAAAAAGGTCTACTTGTTCCAGAAGAATGAAAAGAAGCGTACTACTGCCCCCTGTCCATTTTGACAATTTCCACCTTAAAGATGGCACAATAGAAGGGACAATAGGAACAGGATTGTTCCAAGATCGATGACCTCTCATATTTGCATGTCTTATTCTGTTTCAAGATTTTTTTTATTCACCTTGTCTATTATGGTTGAAAGGTATTATATTATTTTTACTCCATCGATACCTTTAAAATTAATGTGTATTCGAAGTAAAAACAAACAAACAAAAAAGCAACAAAGACACTGATGGGTTGCCAAGCTTTGTTGTTTGTTAGAGATTTTTAAAAATAATCAATGATTAATAATTTTAGTATACTCGCATAGGATCCGTTTCTTGTTTGCATAATTAAAACTGCAACGTATTTGAGACCAGGCGCCGGTCATTTCGGAATCCAAAACAAGTATTAAACATTTGAAATGTAACTACATCGGTGGACAAAAATGAATGAGACACTTGCGACCTTCCTCGATTTTGAGGTCTTACTTAACTTCTACAATAGAGTAAATTTCATATGAGTGGGAAACGGACGGTACTGTATTGTAACCGTAATCGTACTGTTTTATTATTATTATTTTTTTTTTTTGTAATCGTACTGTAACCAAATTCTAGCGTCTCATTGCTTCACAAAAATTGTGCAGGCCAGGTCCGGTAACTGTGCGGTAAATTGTACAGTACGTTTCCCACTCATACGAAATTGACTCTGACTCCGTTTTGTGTGTCCTGTAAACTGTAAATGGATACACAACCGATATCCTACGCAGCATTAGAAACAAAATTAAGGGGAAAGGCGAGGAGGTGTCACATTTTTGTCTATCATGTTATGATATATAAAGTATATGTATTCAAATAATATTTTGAGCTTTCAAACAGCAAACTGATGATAGCTTTATATGAGCTGGAACATATCCTGTTGAAATCTCATAAAAGCGATGTAAAATGATATTGCTAAGCTATTAAATAAATGGGTTTAAAATTTAGATGGAAAGAGACTTTATTTTCTAAAACAAACTTCGTAGACAGAGGCCTGAAGTTGTGTGGAATGTATGTTGTAGTTTCATGTCTTTTTGTTTTTAATGAATATGAAACTTGTATTGTATACATGATATAGGGAATATACAATTTGCTGTTTTGGAAATATATTATTACTGAGTGAGTACGAATGGAGTTGCTATGAACGATCGACATATTGTATAAATCGACGACATTAGGGGACAATTGTACGAAGGCTTGATAATACTATCCATTTTTAATTTTTTTAAGGATTTTATCCGCTAGATAACCATTTAGACACTGGATAGCGCTCTCCCTTGTGCACCCAGCCCAGGTTTTTGGTCCTCGATTTCATCTCATTCCGTTTATTCTATATATCCAGTTCCGGAAAAGGCATTGAGAGATGAGATAGTCAAACGAAAAAAAATCTTTTTCCAAGATATTATCACTATTTTGGCGTGTATATACCTATTTCAAAAAGGTTGTCGAATAAAATAGCGATCGTCAATTGTGGAACGGCGATTGCACGAGCGAAAGTAGCCATGGGTTCTGCTAATTGATGAAAAATAAACAAAATAATAAAAAATAAATAAACAACTGATTTATACTGTAAGATAAATGGTAAACAGATTTCATTTAGACTTCATTTCTATGGTAAGTGAATCCAATAAGTAATATTTTGTTTGTCAAAACAGTGTAACCATTATCCCTTTGGGCCGTGCATTCTCCCTTTAACAATCAACGTTCTCTAAGACAACGTTTTTAGAAATAGGTGTATGTAATAGTTGCTATTGATATTTCTTTCTTGATATTCTTTCTTGGTATTTTGTTATTGATATTTCTTGAGTTCCTCTCCAGTTTATTGTCTGTACATAACCACTAAGTGTATTGATGATCCAAAAGGTGAACATACGCGGCATTTACATCGCAATGTTATCTATCCCCATAACTTTCTTTTCGTTCGCCGAGAAGATCTTTCCGACCACACAGTTCGTCAAATCTAACATAAGTTTTAGAATTTCAACAATTGTCAGAGCAGATATGCCAATCCATAACCCAAGCTGACCACCAATGTCTGACAAAAGATCTTCAATCTGTTGATAAAGTGAATATAATCATCATTCCTTGATTGCATTAAACTTCTTCTCTTCCTTTCCCCTCTCCTTGGGATTCCCTCNACAATAGCATCCAATTTACATGGCTATAAGAACAGGCACCAGAGAGTCTTGTTTCCTAAGATAAACCAACGACAAAGTATGGTTTTGACCACATTTCAGTCGCCATTTCATCTTCTCCAAGTCAGTCACTCTGTATGATTTTTAGCAATATTTTAAGCAGATATACTCCAGAAATGTACCTTAATAAGACTTTCAACACATATTCGACAGTAGACTTGACGTTTTAACCTAATCAATTATTTGAAGAATGAAAAAGCGTATTTTCCTTAACGTAAATTATGTAAAACATCTCGACCGAGAACGAGCTGCGAAACAATGCTGTGACCAAGGTAGCTCAAGCGTATTGTGCATGCGCAATGAAATGGCCCCTTGTTTCTTTCTGGTTGAGTTGATTGATGCATTAAATTATATAGAATGCAAATTATAACTAATGTCCTTCGTTTTCAAGCATAAGAAACACTTAGATGTTCTGCAGTGTCATCTTTTCGTAAAATCAACTTCATAAGACAACTACTGCACGCCGTTAAAGAACCCATTGAATCAACCATGAGTAAGAACGCTTTTGGATCAATCCAAAGAGAGATAAAAGAAATTCAATCCAACAGCCCACCATGCGCCGAAGGACTTATACGATCCATAGACAAAATGGTGAAGAGTCACAGAGATAAAGAAGAGAAGAAAATCCTTGAAATGAAGTTAAAAAAAGCGGCCATTCATGGATTAGACAAAGAATTGCAGAAAGCCATGACATTAAACGGCTTAGAGCTTGAAGCTCTACCACTGGTCCGTGAACATCTTACTACAAAGACAGCCCTAGCTTCCTTTTTTGCTGATACTCCCGATGGAAATCTGACCAAAGATATGAAAATTGTTAGGCGGAAACTTGGCGAAACACTTGAAACACAATGCCAATCTTCACAATTCAAGTCTATAAAAGAACAAATAGAAAAGGTGCCATCAGATGATCATATAAGTACCGCAACGCTAATCCGAGAGATTAATGATATGGTTACTGACCTTCCAAATGACAAGGAAAAGAAAGCACTACAAAGCAGTTTGAAGAGAAAAGCTTTATGGGGATTGAGCGAAGACCTCCAAAAGTTAATGGAATCGAGAGGCTTAGCTCATGAATGCCTTCCACTCGTACTCAGACATCTTACAACGAAACGTGATCTTGCAGTGTTCTTATATGAGAATAATAAAGATGATGATGGTCTTCAAGAGTTTGAAACGATTAGGAGAAAAGTGGGGCAAGAGCTAGAGGCTTTTGGTGAACCCGAAACAAATTTTGAATCACCGCAGTTCAAGTCTATTAAAGAAAAACTAGAAGAATTGACAAAAGATGATCATACGAAGATGATCATACAAGATGATCATACGAAGCGCTAATTCGAGAGATCGATGAGATGGTATCTGAGCTTCCAGAGAGCCGGGAAAAAAAGGCACTGTCAATCAGTTTGAAGAAAAAGGCTTCATCAGGATTGAGCAATGACCTCCAGGAGCTAATGAAATCTCGCGGACTAGCTAATGACTGTCTTCCACTTGTTCTCAAACATCTTACGACGAAACCTGATCTTGCAAAGTTCTTATATGAGAATAAAGATGATGAAGATTTGGAAATGATAAGGAGAAAAGTGGGACAAGATCTTGAAGTTCTAGGTGAACTCGTTCATTCGATGCTTCTAGTAATAGTGTCCAAGATCTTATTAAGGAAGCGCCATCCCGTTCCAGACTCGAAAGGATGGAAGTCGGCGAGCTGAAGAAATTGGATTTTAGCCCGGAAGATGCTAACTTTATCAATGAGAAAGTAAGGAAGGAAGGTAAAACAGCTAAATCGAAAGAAACAGACGAAGAAAAACGCGAAAAAGCAGAGGCTTTAATGGATATTGCTAGTAATATGGCAGCCGAAAACAAGAAGGAAGTTGGGACGGACGTGAAGGGAAAAATTGCTGATTTGATCAAAAACCTGAAAAATCGTCCCAACGACTGGAATCAACATGAGAAAAAATCTCCAAATGAAATGTTGAACTATATTAAACAGGAACAGGAAGATATGGGTGAAGTTAAGGTGGCTGACTCCTCGTCCGCAGATATAAAAGCCATTGTCGCACGCTCAAGCGGTGGACTAGCTTTAAAAGGTATATACTACTCGAGGTGGGGATCAACAACCGCTGATCTTCCAATCTTAAAACCCCCTTGCGATGTGTGTAGTTGGAATACACAGTCGCCGTACGAGACGGGATTTCGTCAATTTTCTGACGGAAATACTGCCGCAAAGTTTTCGAAAGAAGTAGAGAATTCAGGTTTTTCTCACGCAGACAGCGTATGTGGGTTTTATGGTGGGTTTGCAGCTAAAGCAAACGTCGCCTATGGAGAGGAATCCTCTGATGAGCAAGAAAAGTCTTCAAAGACATGCACAACAAGCGTTTCCGCAACAAAGTTTTGCCGTTGTGCAACGAGGTGCTTTGCAATTCCTAAAGAACATATGGAACTATGTGATCAGGCTTGTAATATGGCCTCGGAATTATGCAAAGATATAAGCGAATAAAGATTTGAAAAATTTGGTTAATATGTATGGGAACGCCATCTTGGATGATAACTTTGATCATCCAAGATGGCGTTCCCATACATATTAACCAAATTTTTCAAATCTTTATTCGCTTATATCTTCATCGAAAAGTAAGCTACAGGACTAAAAGCTCGTATTCTAGATAATCTGAGTATGCTCTTTATGACTTGCTACTTGGTTTTTTAAAATAACGAATAATAACGAATGATAAATTTTCAGTTCGGGGGTTGCAACCCAAGAATTATATTATAGCTATTATAGAATCTCTAATTGGTCAAATGTTATTGTTTATTTCAACGGTAAACGCACGGATGTGAAAATGCTATAATATTAAAGCAATAAACAACATATTATCATGTGTTCCTGGTGAAATAAACCACTTGGGATATTTTGAAAATACTCAAAATTTATTTCACAGAAACGCACGAAAATAAATTTGCTTCATATTAACAATTCTTCACAATGGTTTCAGTACTTTCAAATTCATCAGTTTAAATTCATTCCTATATTCATTATGATATGGATAAAAAATGACACAAGAAATATATTCGGATCCAAGTCATTATCTTGATTGAAAACAGTAGGCTCGCTTGAAATAGTCTTCTTCATGGTTCGTGCGCCATCTTAAAAGGTAGCCGTGCCTTTGCATCGAAGCGAGATGACTGTTGAGTTTGCAATGATAGAAACCGTATTTCACACCCACAGACAATTATTCACAGGTATCTATCATTGCACGCCCAACATTCGTCTCGCTTCGATGTAAAGGCACGGCTACCTTTCAAGATGGCGCACCTAGCCGTGAAGGAGACTATTGAGTCCAATATTTCTAACTAGTGTTTATTGTGAATGCGACTGTTCAGCATCTGAACATAGTTTGGTCATTTGACCTTTTAAAACACTACATTTACGAAACAAAACAAAAACAGCCATTTTAGCGACTATATTAAAATGTATTACTCAATTATCCATTGCACGGGCTTAGGTACTAGTAGATAATACTCTCTTTAAACAAGAAGTCAATTGTTAGTTAATGTTAAGACATGCTCTAGCAATCTATTAAAAACAATTAAAAACGGGAAAAAAGAAGAAAAAGTTAAGGAAGACTTCATAGCATGTCTTCCAAACCCATTTATAATTTTTTAAGCCAATTGAAAGTATGTATAAACATACCTCGAGGCAAGAGAGCTGAAGTATAGTGTCGGTGATTTTGGTGTAATTTTTCAATGATATCGATCATATAAAATTTAGTCAACGTTCTCTCGAACTTTCCGCAAATTTCATACAAAATTTGAATGGAAATCAATTTTTTTCCAGTGTTTAATATTTAAATCATATCCATACTCTAAAATAATGTTGAACATGCAAGGAAGGCTTAGTTTTATTTCTTGTTTTTGATGGATATGAAAGTATTTTATTGTATACATGTTTTACAGATATCATTTGATGTTTTGGAAGTATGTTTATCGGAGGCATTACTGTGTCGCGGCCCTATTTCCCACTAGGGAAGATGGGGATAAGTAAGTAAGTACTGAGTACGAATGGAGCTGCGATGAACGACATATATATATAAATCGACGACAACAGGGAACAATTGTACGAAGGCTTGATAATGCTATCCATTCGTTAGATTTTTTAAGGATTTTATCCGCTAGATAATCATTTAGCCACTGGATAGCGCTATTCTCCCTTGTGCGCACCAGCCGGCCCAGGTTTTCAGTCCTGGATTTCATCTCATTGGCAGTGAGAGATGAGATAGTCCAACGAAAAAAAAATCTCTTTCCAAGATATTCGACGTGTATATACCTTTTTCAAAAAAGGTTGTCGAATAAAATAGCGATCGTCAATTGTGGAACTACGATTGCACGACCGAAAGTAACCATGGGTTCTGCTAATTAATGAGAAATAACAACTGATTTATACTGTAAGATGGTCTGTGGTGAACAGTTTTTATTTGGACTCCATTTCTATGTAAAGTGAATCCGATAAATAAAATTTTGTTTGTCAAAACAGTGTAACCATTGTCCCTTTGGGTCGTGCATTCTCCCTTTAACAATCGACGTTCTCTCAGACAACGTTTTTAGAAATAGGTGTATGTAATAGTTGTTATTGATATTTCTTTCTTGATATTTTGTTATTGATATATCTTGAGTCCCTCTCCAGTGTATTGTCTGTTCATAACCACTAAGTGTATTGATGATCCAAAAGGTGAACATACGCGGCATTTACATCGCAATGTTGTCTATCCCCATGACTTTCTTTTCGTTCGCCGAGAAGATCTTTCCGACCACACAGTTCGTCAAATCTAACATAAGTTTTAGAATTTCAACAATTGTCAGTGCCGATATGCCAATCCATAACCCAAGCTGACCACCAATGTCTGACAAAAGATCTTCAATCTGTTGATAAAGTGAATATAATCATCATTCCTTGATTGCATTTAACTTCTTCTCTTCCTTTCCACTCTCCTTGCTCTCCTTGGGCTTCCCTCTTCCTCAATAAGACCGAGGGAGAYTTTGACACTAGAGGAATCCCATAAAGCCAAATTGGAGTGTTGTTTGCGGAGGTGGGTAGCGATTGCATTGTCATTGCACTTAGCTCTCATAATCATGGACATYAAGTTACCTGGTATGATCTTGAATAGGTAATCTTCTCGAGATTAAGCTCATCAAAGTATATTTTCACGCGAAGAAAGTTTTGTCTGTTATAACAGTACAACAGTCAAACKTAAGATAAGAAATTGACATATCAATTCAAGTGTAATGGTTTTTATTTAAGGAATAAATTAAACTTACTTCATCATTGCACTGTCTTTGCCCATTTTACTATCGAATCCTTTGCCAGATTTCATGATTTGTTTCTGAAAATCTCTCTGTGAAACGAAAAAATTATAGGACGTCATTAAAGACACGCGCATTGCTGACTTCAAATATATCGACTCTCACGCTATGTATTCAAATCAAGATATCTTTTCAACTGGCACCTGTCTTGCGCTCAGTCATTGCTGAATCTTGATTATTAAAAATTGACTTACTTCAAAAGATTCCGACCAAAGAGCCGTCGAGAGACTAACTCTGTACGAAGAATGCCTAGTTTGAAGCAAATATAGTTCACTAAACTACATATGTATAATGGAAGTTGTTTCTAGTATTTCTAGTAATTTCCTAGTGGCGAAAAAWATAAGATACTTTATATACTAAAATGCTCACTACTTACTTTTTATATTGAGAAAATTAAGTGGTGGAGAACGCGTTCTCTTTAAAAAAATATTATGGTTTATACTTACGTGCACGACTGCGGACAGTTTTGTGTACATCCCAATGTGTTGTTTCGGTATGCTCTGATAACATCATATTGGCATTCAACTATCGRAGATAAAATATATTTTACGTTATTTTGGCAAAACCTTGCATGAAATATGACCCAAAAAGAAAACAAACTTCCGATGTGTCCTCTCCATCTCAGTATTTTCAGTTTCCTGAGCAGGCAAACCGATGATAACTCTACCAAGTATTCGATTGTAGTGAAGAAAATAGGTTAAACAAGCAAAGGGCTGGATTTTTGTACCATCTACATTAGTATGTCATTTTGTAAAAACGGATATGGTGATTTGTACGGCACTGTTGATCCCACCTAGTGCACAACCCCCATTCGTTTTACTGCTTACAAGCACAAAACATTCCTACTGCGAAAACCATGGATTTTCATAGATTGTCTCTTTTTTGCTCCGACGAAAGATTACCGTCCGGAACGTCAGAAAGTTGTTCCACCTATTTTTTACAGTGTTAAATTTATCTCTTTACACAATTGTTTCTTTAGAAACAGCGACGCAGCTCACACTAGTTTACCGTTAGTTTCCACCATTTTGTTTCTTTATCATTTTTTTATTTTATTTTACCTTGTTCTTTGTCCATGCAAACGTTTTCTTCGCTTGGTGACCGATATTTCCCTTCAGTGCAGTTACAGGTTTCCCTTTGTTTATTGGCAAGACAAGAATTCATGCAGCCCTAGAAAATATCGAGTAGTATTTTCTATAAACTATCTACCATCTTGACACTTATCGATGCCATGATGCACTTCCGCAAGACAAATATGACGTCATTAGGGGGAAACAAACATAGCAAATACAAATGAGACATCCATCTTATATAATAAATATAATAGTGATTAGGTTAACTACGGGGATGACCTGCAGTATACTTTGGTTTACCTGTACTGAGTACTTGACTCCTTTRATGTGTTTGTAAATGGAATCTTCTCCGACGTTTTYGTCGGCATTGCAGCTTTTATTCTTGTGTGGGTCAATTCTCTCGATAACATACTGTGAAGAGAGCAGTATCATCATTTGTATTATATATCTCATTTGGCATAGATCAAGCAATTAGTCTGTGGTCTTGTATAATCTCATATGAAATTTATGATCATTTTGGGTTTAGTAGTTTATGAGCTGCTGACTGTACCAAGAAATGCAGGCATCAATACTTTTTTGAAGTCGTTCTTGAAAGTATTTTCTAAAATACTTAGGATACTACGCGCGCTGTGATTGGTCGAAAACCATGTTTGATTACAGTATCAAAACACGCTCGCGCGCGTCAAAAATTTCTTTTATTCTTTTAATTTTAGAAAAGAAATAAAAGACGGAATTCCGTGTTTGATACTCTGATCAAAACACTTGGGATGTAGGGAGAGCACTCGAAAAGCTGGAAACCACTCCGCTACGCGTCGTGGTTTCCTACGCTTCTCTCGTGCTCTCCCTACATCCCGCGTGCTTTGATCAGAGTATCAAACACGGAATTCCGTCTTTTATTCCTTAATTATACAAATTATCTATAACATTATCAAATCTGATAAAATGCCTATAAAAAGATATAATAGCCAGGCTATAATGAAAGGCCATAAAATATGTGGCAATGCTGCTTATAAAAGGAAGTGCTAAAGCAAAATCAATGCATATACAATCGTGAATTCAGTCCGAGACTCCTTTTCATTATTATAACAAACAAATATCACAATTTTGAGAAAGCGTCACTCACCTTTCTGACACCAATCGACGAAGAAACTCCAGGTGCAACTGTAAATCCCTGGGTGGTGGGGAAGGGAATTTGGTGCTGGTCTGTGAGAAGAACTTTGACTCCTGCTTCTTGGCTCAAAAGACCGAAGTATTCCTTCTGATCAATAAATAGATCGAGCGATAAACCTAAGTAGATAGACAAAGGTGATTGGTTGGTTGGTTGAAGGATATAGTCTATTTGATTGGTTAAATAATACTGGAACTTGATTTGTGTCCAAAGTATAAAAATAATATATATGTAAATAAACTGTAAATTCAATTTACAGAAAATATCCTTTTACAAATTTTGAAAATTTTAGTGTACATTCTGTAAAAATCTTGTAAATTGTTTTCGATTAAACATCGTAAATATCTTGTAAAATCTTTTCATAGAGTTTTTAATTTGCAAACAATGTTTTTAAGGCCCGTTTACACTTGCGATTTTTGCAGTGCAATTGTCGCGCGACAATCGACACTTTGTTCTCGCGCACCTCAAATCATACGTGGAAACAGCCCTGCGATTGTCGCGGCTGTCGAAAATCGCCACGAGTTGCAGCTAAATTCCAAGTATGTTCGAAACTAAGGCGATTGTCGCGCGACGATCGACCTGCAAAAAAGTGCCAGTGTAAACACGCCATTTTGTCTGTAAAATGATCAAATTTTCCCGTTTTAAGGAATTACCAAACAGTGGTCCAGGTTTAGTTATTGACATGACTGGTAGTTTTGTGCCATTCTCATTGGTTCCTGCATTGAATGTGAAACAGTTACCATATCTCCAGTTCCAAGTTTGGCGCCAATATTTCTTGAAATCACTACAAAAAAGGAAGAAAAAGACCTCTGAATAACCTACATGTATTAGCSATTTTCACAATGGCCGACACTAAGTAKGATATTATCGTTTAATTCATAATGTTCACAAACGACAACACTCAGATGATAGATATCAAAAGTAAAGTGATGATTTCTGAAAGTTTCGYAGAAAAATTTTAAAACCACTTATAAGTTATAAGGACAGAAGAAA